CATCACCCAGCTTAAAAAGTAAATTACCACAAAACTGATATCCATGTGTATCTCTCCTCTTCCACATAGCCTATATTATAGTTCCCCTATAGAATTAATAAATCCTGAGTTGTTTTTTCCTCCTCTTCCTGTGTTTCTATGGCCATCCCTAAAAGATAATTTTTATGTTTTTAAACTTTGATTTAAATATTCTTTAGCTTCTTGTTTTCAGTTAGTTTCTTAATATTTATGTAATTTATTCATGCTGATGCATATAGATCATTTATTTTTACTGTTGGGAATAATATTTCCTTGTTTCAGAATGCAGACTGTACTTATCCATTCTCCTGTTGATGGACATTTAGTTATTTCCAACTTTTGGTTAGTAAAAATAATGCTGCTATGAATATGATCATACAAACTACTTCTTGGTTGATTCATAATAACAAAAGTGAAAACAACATAAAAGTTCATAAATTGTTGAATGGTTAGATAAAATAATGGAATATTATTCGGCTATAAAAAGGAATAAAGTACTGATACATGTTCTAAAATGGGTCAACCTTGAAAACATTATCTAGGTGAAAGAAGTCAGTCACACAATACCACATAGTGTATGATTCTAATTATATGAATATCCAGAAGAGACAAGTTCATTGAGACAGAAGGTAGATGAGTGGTTGCTAGAGTCTGTGAGATGTGGATAATAGTGGCTGTTAGTGGTTTTGGGGTTCTTTGGGGAATGATGAAATGTTCTAAAGACAGATCATGATAAGATTGTGCAACTGAATATAGTAATAMAAACATTGGGCTATACATCTTAGATGGATGAGTTTATGTTGTTTGAACTATAGAAGTTAAGAATAATTTACAGTCTTTTTCAAAATCAACCCACTAGTAGATTGTAAGCCATTTTGGAGGGTCACTAATAGAATTTATTTTTTAAAAAAATAGGAGCAAAAGGGTAGCTCACAGATCTTATTTAGATGTTATCAATTTCATGAAACATATAATCAAATAAAAATAGTTTGGGAGAGGGTTGGTTCTGGGGATTGAATCCAGGACCACTCTACACACTAAGCCAGGTGTTCCCTTTGTATTTTGAGACAGAGGTCTCACTTAGTTGCCAAAACTGACTTCCAACTTGTGATCCTCTTGTCTCAGCCTCTCATAGCTGGGATTATAGGTGTATACCTGTAAGGTGCCAAGCTTAAATAACCATGCTCTTGATGATTACGAATGCATAGTATTTGCACACAAGAGGTCCTCAATAAAATTTTGATACTTAGGTTTTACTATTTATTTGGGTGACTGGTAATTAAGGTGAAAGAAGGGTAATTAGGAATGAGGATTATACCAGAAATGGAAACCATAAGAATCCATAAATATAAGAAACATTTGGACTAATTTTAAACTTTTCTGTGTCAGCTCTCTCAATGTTGCCCAGGCTGGCCTCAAACTTGCCGTCCTCCTGCCTCCTGAGTAGCTGGTATTGCTGTTGTGCACTACTGTGCCCATTACTTTTTTCCCTCCTCTCCCTTTTGAACAGGAATAGCAAATTCTTGAGGCATGAAATAGATAATGAAGGGTTTAAAAGCATAGACTGTTTTGGAATTCTCCTTTTTTATTCTAGGAAGAATAATCTTTAGTTTAATGTTAATTAACTTGGATTTCCAATAGCATTTTTTTCAGATTTTTATACAGTCTTTTAATGCTCATCAGAGTTTAAAGAGTGGTCTTGAATTCTTTAATGTTGTCATTTTATTTTTCTTTGAAGAKCTAATGGTAACTGTTTCCTGAAATTTTCTTATTGTTTTTGTTTTGATTTTTTTTTATGATAGGCTTTTTTCAATTGTTTGATTTTCTTAATGGACCTCATGTAAAAGGAGGCATTGCTTAAAAACCTGGTTAATTTTAAAAAGCTAAGACTATGCAAGGGTCAGAGGAAACTACAAATAATATCCTTAAGATTAAAAAAAAAAAGGAGGCAATACATCATTGAAACAAAATAGGAATCTTAAAAAAATGTTCAAGAGGAAAAAATGATAATTTAAAAAGTTAGAAATTTATTTATTTATTTTTTTAAAGGTTTTTTAAAATTTTTTTTTTAAAGAGAGAGTGAGAGAGGAGAGAGAGAAAGAGAATTTTTTTAATATTTATTTTTTAGTTCTCGGCGGACACAACATCTTTGTTGGTATGTGGTGCTGAGGATCGAACCCGGGCCGCAYGCATGCCAGGCGAGCGCGCTACCGCTTGAGCCACATCCCCAGCCCAAAAGTTAGAAATTTAAAAGACAAGTTAGGAAGATAAATCTGAAGAGTAAAACAAAAACTAAAGAGGTAAAGAAAAAAATTAATGGAGCATGCCAGAGGGTTCAGTAGCTGCAAAGATAGTTCTAAAGAGAATAGAAATAAACAAGAGGATTAAATTTTCAGTGAAATACGGGAAATTCCCCCAAATTGAATATGAGTCTAATTTGCATGGGAACACAAGGTACTTAGCAAGATAGACTCCCCACTTTTTTTAAGTTGCAGACGGACACATAGTATCTTTATGTGGTGCTGAGGATCAAACCCAGTGCCTCACACATGCAAGGCAAGCGTTTTACCACTCAGCTACAGCCCCAATCCTGCAGGATAGACTTTTAAAAAAACCATTCAGAAGGGCTAGAGTTGTAGCTCAGTGTACAGCACTTGCCTAATATGTGTGAGGCACTGGGTTTGATTCTTGGCACTGTGTATAAATAAATAAAGRTTCATCAACAAATTTTTTTAAAAACATTTTAATTTCAGAAAACTTTAGACCATAAAGATAAAAGAGAAGATCTTTAAAAAATAACTTTTCAGAGAGAAAAACAAGCCCTCTTTCCAGGACTCAAGAAGCTAGAGGTCAACAGAGATGTATTTTATACTTAAACTAAAAATTAAGGATGAGGATAAAATAAAGATTTGATACATCCTAATAAATTTACCTCCCATGCACCTATTCCGCAAAGTTACTGATAAATATACATGTTACAWACGAGTAAATTAAGAGAGAACTGTGGGATCCAGGATTGGAAAATCCAAAATACAGGACAGTGGTAACTTTAAAAATTTTTTTAGTTGTAAAAGAACTTAATACCTTTTTTAAAAAGTATTATTTTGTTTAGTTGTAGTTGGACATCATGCCTTTATTTTATTTATTTATTTTTATGAGGTACTGAGGATCGAACCCAGCACCTTACATATGTTAGGCAAGTGCTCTACCACTGAGCCACAACTCCAGCCTCCTGCCCTTCAAGATTTAACACATACCACAAATAGAGGATGGTTACACTGACCACCAAAATCTAAATCATTAATCATGCTTGCCTACATGTTTCTTATTTCTCAATAGTCCGTATAACTGGTTTTGTATTTTTTTTCTGCTAAATTGAGTTTTTGAAAAGGTAAATAAATATTTTTAAATGGGGATTAAAAWTTTTTTCCCCAAAAATTTAAAAAGGAATGCTAAGCCACGAGCGCTGTTGCATGCCTATAATCTCAGCAACTCCATAGTCTGAGGCAAGAGGATGCCAAATTCAAGGCAAGCCTCAGCAATTTAGAGATACAGGAAATAAAAAATTAAAAGGAGAGCTGGGCATGGTGGCATATGCCTATATCTATATCTCTAAATAAAATACAAAAAAAGGGCTGGGGATATGGCTCAGTGATAGAGTGCCCCTGAGTTCTATCCCTGGTACCATAAACAAAAAATTGAAGGGACTGGGGGAGAAGCTCAGTATATCTTCCCTAGGTTTAATAGGGATTGGAGGAGAAGGTGGGGGTTAGAATATTATAAACAGAACTTAGTGGCATATGTCTTCCTGCTACTCAGGAAGCTTAGGTAGTTGGATTGCTTGAACCAAAAGTTCAAGGCCAGCCTGGGCTACGTAGCAAGACCCTATCAAAAAAGGAAGAAGAAGGAAGGAGGGTGGGAGAAAAGAAACAAAAATGCTGTATACCTTGCTTTTTAGATTTAGGTCGTTTTGCCTACTGAACTTTTCAGGGCATAAAAATCATGATAAAATTAATTGATGGCCTATAGAGAAAGGAATCAATAAATTTAATATATTATGAAATGAAGTGTTCTGAATTAGTAGCAAATAAGGGATGTACAACCCTTTTGGAAAGTCCTTAAAAGTATTCATGGGGCTCGAGTTGTAGCTCAGTAGTAGAGCGCTTATCTTGTACATGTGAGGCACTGCATTCGATTCCCAGCACCACATATAAATAAGCAAATAAAATAAAGGACCATCAACTTAAAAAAAATAAAAATAAGAAAAAGTATTCATGGCCAAGACTTAGAGGGAAAAGCCCCAAAATGTTAATAGTTGTTCAGATTAGGGGTGCCTTTAAACAAGTGTTTTCCAGCATTTCTACATTTTATTTGTTATTTTTACAAATGAGGGAATATTTTGACCCCTATCTGGTAGTCTAACTTTAGGAAAATAATTATAGATACAGAATAAACATTATCCAGAAATATTCAACACCTTTATTTTTAGTAATGAAAAATCAGATAAAAGTTAAATGTTCAGGTAACTAGAATGTGCCAAAGTAAATGGTGGTATTTCTGAATGAACTGTGTTAAGATTTAAGAGATTACCTAAAAATAATGAAAGATAGAATAGAAAAAGCAGGAAACAAAATGTTTATGCAGTATATGATTACAGATAAATATTTTTATAAATTTACAACAATACTAGAAGAAAATCAGTAATTTCTCAGTGACTATATTTAGATATTAAGATTCAGGTAATTTTTCCTCTTTGTACTCTTGTATATTTTCCAAATTTTATTTAGTTATCAGGTATGAACTAACTTTAAAAACTAGTTTTTTTCCTAACACAAAGTAAAGCTATAGCTATGGTTTTTAGGCTCCTACTTGATAAGATTTTTTTTTATATGTTATCTGAAAATTGGGGGGGTTTGCTAACGATATTTTCTTCAAGCCCTCTTCGGTTTATATGGAATAAATGTATTTGTGTCATTTCTTAGATCTGAAACTCAACACCGAGGCTCTGCTCCCCATTCTGAGAGTGATATACCAGAGCAGGAAGAGGAGATTTTAGGATCTGATGATGATGAGCAGGAAGACCCTAATGATTATTGTAAAGGTAAGTTTGTTAGGGGATACACAGTAAGATTTCCCATTACTCGTTTGGATATTTTGTCTATCAGAATAAGCACAGTTGTAATGCTTTCTGCTTGTTACATCCTTTTCTTGAAGATACAGGAATAGTGTTTGCTCTTGATTTGATATAAGGCATCAAAGTCAAATTTTATATTAAATGTTTATTTCTTTTTTAAAATCTTAGTACATATTGCCTTAGAAATTTTCAGATATATATTAAATAGAAAAGAAAAGCTGTGGGCTGGGGATGTGGCTTAAGTGTAGCGCACTCACCTAGCATGCATGAGGCACTGGGTTTGATTCTCAGCACCATGTAAAAATAAATAAAGATATTGTGTCCACCTAAAACTAAAAAAAATAAATAAAAAAAAGAAAAGCTGTTTTCAGTGCTGTAAACAAGTATAATATTTTGATGTGTGTATATGTATATATATACATATATGTGTGTGTGTATACTTTTTTAAATACCTTATTACTTTTTTCTCATTTCATGATAACTACTTAGATAAGTTAAACTGGAATCACAGGTACATAAACTATGTCATCAGATTGCTTCTATCTTTTCTGTTTCTTGGTGAGATTTCTCAGCATCCTTGAGGTRGGAACTTATAATCAAATATATTGTACTATCTAGGATAAGAAGTTGCTTGCTTAGTTCATATTCTCAGCAAGCAAAGATAAATGTTAAAATATCTTGATTCCTGCCACTTTGGGCAGCTTTCTCAGGCCTTCCTGTTTGTTTTTATTTAGAAAAGTAGGTCCTTCTATTTTCTACTTTTCAGCTAAATTAATAGAATTCATTATTCTTCTCTCCTAAGAAATATCCTGAGGCTGCACCTCTAAATAGATTATGTTTAAGTAAATCTGTTGGGGTTTTATACACACATACACACACAAAAATGTGTGTGTGTGTGTGTGTGTGTGTGTGTGTATATATATATTTATTTTAGTTATAGTTGGACATAATACCTTTATTTTATTTATTTATTTTATGTGGTGCTGGGGATCGAACCCAGTGTCTCCCATGTGCTAGGTGAGTGCTCTACTGCCGAGCCACAACCCCAACCCCAATCTGTTGGGTTTTTGAGTGGCAAAAATGATCTTATACAAAATCTTATTTTTGTTTGGGGATGGGGTTCTTTTGAAGAGCATCACTTGCTCAATTTAAAATCTTACTAAGATTTTATGGGTCTAGGAAAGATAGTAGAATGAATCAGACATTATTATCCTATGTATATATATGATAAAAACAACTGGTGAGATTCTACATCATGTACAATCAGAAAAATGAGAAATTGTACTCCATTTATGTATGATGTATCATAATACATTCTACTGTCAGGTTTCCAAGGAATCTGTATACTACTTTCCATATTGGCTGCACCAATTTGCAGTCCCTCCAGCCATGTATGAGTACTTTTTTCCCCCACATCCTCGCCAACACTTACTGTTGTTTGTCTTCATAATAGCTGCCATTCTGACTGGAGTTAGATAATATCTTAGAGTAGTTTTGATTTGCATTTCTCTGATTGCTAGAGATGATGAGCATTTTTTTCATATATTTGATGATTGTATAATTAAAACAAATTTAAAATCTTAAGATTTGTTTGTAACATAAACTCAATAATACTGTGACTAATTTGACATATAAGGTTTTCTTCTATTGAATTGATTTTATAGGAGAAACTTTTGATAAAAGGCATATAAATGTTCAAAAATGGGATATAAGATACCTTTTCTTACTATTTTATTCTCATCCTGGTTCTTCTTATACTCTTTCTCTTTTTCCTTCCAGGAGGTTATCATCTTGTGAAAATCGGAGATCTGTTCAATGGGAGATATCATGTAATCCGAAAGTTGGGCTGGGGACATTTCTCAACAGTGTGGTTATCATGGGATATTCAGTAAGTTTTACTGGTCCTTAAAAATATTTTAGTTAAATGATACCTCCATGTTTTTGTCTGATTTCCCAGAGATGGTCTGGGCTCCAGTCTGTCTATCTCTTGATGGGTTGGTTTATTTCTTTTCCATATATATGTGGTAGAGTTTAGGGGCGTTTTTTTTTTTTTTTTTTTTAAAGACTCATTTCTTGAACAGAATTTTATGGTTGAAAGTAATCGTTTTGGGGGACAGGGAGGTACCAGGGATTGAACTCGGAGGCACTCACCACTGAGCCACATCCCCAGCTTTATTTTGTATTTTATTTAGGGGGAGGGAGTCACTGAGTTGATTAGTTCCTCGTTTTTGCTAAGGCTGGCTTTGAAYTTGTGATCTCCTGCCTTAGCTTCCCGAGCCACTGGGATTATAGGCGTGTGCCACCATGTCTGGTGAAAAGTAATCTTTATGTTCTTGGACAAATCATGTTTCTGGTCATCAAGAATCAGTAATATATATTCTTCCCCACCTTGGGCACAGGAGATTGATTAAATTACTATCAGCAAAATACTTGGAGCTCCCAAATTCAAAGCCTTGCCAAATATTCARTTGTGTATAAATTAATAATTGTCTTCTCACGCAAGTATTGTTAAATTTTTGGATAATGTTAGACCAACCTTTGTGAAATTATTTTTGTAACAGATTTGGTCAATTATGTACTTAAAATTTTTCTTTATATAAAAATTATAGATAATAAAAATACCTCTGTAACATTGAATATTTAACTAAGCATATATCATCTTTTATTTACTTTTATGACTTACAAGATTTTATTTTATAAATAAAGTGTTTTACATCCTATAGACCAAAACCAATTTTTCTTTTAACTGAAAGAAACTTGTCACATTTTCAATACTTAGACAAAACATCATTAGGGCAAAAAAAAAAAAAAATCCCTCAGTATGACTACGCCTGGCTGAGGGATCTTTGATGAGACAGTAATTGCTATCTGTGTACCTTACTATATATATATATATATATATATATATATTTGAGTTTGTGTGTGTGTTTGTATTTTTGTCATTTCTGGGCAACATCTCCAGCCCTTTTGCATATTTTATTTGGAGACAGGATCTTGCTAAATTGCTTAGGGTCTAGGTAAGTTGCTGAGGCTGTCCTTAAACTTGTGATCCTCCTGCCCCAGGCTTCCAGGCCACTGGGATTATAGGCATGAATTACTGCACACAGCTTGTCATTTTGTATTCATCCAAGTATTCCTTTTGGTGCGCGCGTGTGCGCTCGCTCGCTCGAGCGCTCTCTCTCTCTCCTCTCTCTCTCTCTCTCTCTCTCTCTTTGTGCTGAGGATCAAACCCAGAGCTTTGTGCATGCAAGGCAAGCGCTTGACCAACTGAGCTACATCCCCAGCCCTCTTCTGGCTTCTTATAGGAAAGTGTGGTATAGCTTTTATCCTTTTAACTTTTGCCATATAGATGTATATGCAGTAATTCTGATTTGATGAGGTTTTTCCTCTTATTTGTTCTAGTTTCTTGGTTTTACTTGGAATTCAGGGGGTTATTAAGAAGGTAGGTTTAGCTTAGAGAAAAGATTCAGTGACAGGTTATCTGAGGATAGATTATTTTCTTCCTGTAAATGAAATCTGGGCAGTTTCTTTAATAGTTATAAGCAATCCACAGAAGTAGCTCAAGCTACTTTTGTCTACAGGGAAATATGAAATAAGTATTTGTATTTGTTTACTGTGTCTCAGTTATAATAAAATCTTAGCTTCCAAAAGTGAGAGTAGGCTGGGTTCAGTGGCACCTGTCTGTAATCCCAGTAGCTCAGGAGGCTTTGGCAGGAGGGTTTCAGAGTTCAAAGCCAGCCTCAGCAATGGTGAGGTGCTAAGCAACTCAGTGAGACTGAAGTGCCCCTGAATTCAATCCTCTATACCAAAAGAAAAAATTGAGGGCAGCATGTTTAGTCTTTTTTTTTTTTTTTTTGAAAGAATTTTTAATATTTATTTTTTAGTTCTCRGCGGACACAACATCTTTGTTGGTATGTGGTGCTGAGGATCGAACCCRGGCCGCACGCATGCCAGGCGAGCGCGCTACCGCTTGAGCCACATCCCCAGCCCCAGCATGTTTAGTCTTAATTGCTTATGTTTGTTTCTTAGAGGGAAGAAGTTTGTGGCAATGAAAGTAGTTAAAAGTGCTGAACATTATACTGAAACAGCTCTAGATGAAATCCGGTTGCTGAAATCAGTGAGTATTATATTTATGAACTGCAAAAAGCATTATAAAGTTTTATAAGATACTAAGTGGTAGACTCTTTAACATGGCAAAATTTTTAGTGTACTTCTGATAGCCTAAGGAAGTTTAGAGGAAGAGGACAATATTTGCACATTCTAGTCATGTAGTTGGGAATTGTTAGGACATGCTGTTATAAGAATTCTCCCTACATAGAGAGACACCCCCAAAATTTTTCAAACAGAACTTTATTGAGCATGTTTTGTATACCAGATCATGGTAAGAATACTCCCTATACACACAGACACCCTAAAATTTTTTCAAACAAATAAAACTTTATTGAGCATGGTTTATATGCCATAAATATTTATGTCTTCTACTGTGGTTAAAAGGAAAGTTGTGTGATTACATTTGGAACATCTATTTTATGTTTTAAAATATGTAACAAAAAATAAATACTGCATTCATTAATTCCATCTTAACCTGGAAACTTGAGCAGATTTTATCCAAAAAAATTATCACTTTGTTACAAATTAAGAAGAAATCAGTGTGATAAAAATTAGAGAACCTAGATTTTGTTTCATCTTTATCCTGGTATCTTCTTTATCACTTCTTCTTTATTTTTTTTTTTCTCTTTCTGCCCCTCAGTGTTTCATTCATTTTATGAATGTTGGACCAGGAAATCTCTAAGGCAGTGTGCCAGTTTATGATGAGAATAAGGAGCATGTCCCCAAAAGCAATTCAGTGTACTATATTTAGTTTGTTTGTTTGTTTGTTTTTCTTTTTCTTTTTCTTTTTTTTTTTTTTTTTTTGTGCTGGGGATGAAACCCAGGGCCTTGTGCATGCAAGGCAAGCATTCTACCAACTGAGCTATATTCCCAACCCCACGGTACTGTTTATTTAAGAAAGTTTTTGGATTTGAATCCTGTGAAAGCTCCTTAATTCCTCACACTTGGTAACCAGCAGTTGATTTGGAGGCAGCACTTCAAGTCACAAAACAGTTGAATTAGAAAATTAGTGTATATATTTATAGGAGCCCATTCTTGGAGTTGGGTTGCTACAGGTATTCTTCCTCTACCATTTGGCTTATTTCCGTGCTTTTTCCCTCTTGATGAATATTGTCTCTTCCCTTTGTACAGGTTCGCAATTCAGATCCTAATGATCCAAATAGAGAAATGGTCGTTCAACTACTRGATGACTTTAAAATATCAGGAGTTAATGGAACACGTATCCTTTTAAGAACTTATTCTTAAATAAATCAGGAATTGACTTTATCTCAGAGAAAGGAACTGGATTTGTACAAGTTGCACTTATGTGATTTCTTAGTAAATAAAATATAAAATTACCTTCTTTTACTGAACTTTTCTGATTTATGTCTATTTTTGTGTGGCATGCTTTTTCAGGATATTCTTTTGGGTTTCCATCTTAGAAAAATCAAAGCAAATCCAAAGGAACCATTTTTWAAAAAAAATAGCTTTGTGTTACTAAATAAATATTCTATGATCTTTACCACCTATCACAGAAATTTTAGGGGAAGTAATTTTTTTGTGTGTGAAAACTAATAGATAAATAAGATTTTAAGTCATGATTTTATTTTTTCACCAGATCTTAATATTGAAGAGACTGCAGATATAGCTTTTGTTTTGAATATGATTGTTTGCATTCTGTTGTAATGGAAAAACTGACTTATTAAATGGTTTTATATAGATTTTTAGAATTTTAGTGTTGGAGGGAACCTTAACTGATTTTCTTTATTTATGTGTTTTTCGTTTGTTTGTTTTTAATTTTAAATGGACAACATGCCTTTATTTTATTTGTTTATTTTTATGTGGTGCTAAGGATCGAACCCAGTGCCTCACACATGCTAGGCAAGCGCTCTGTCACTGAGCTACAGCCCCAGGCCCCTGATTTTCTTCATAAGTTAACTGATTAATCTGATGTGCAGTGAGCTACTTGAAAGGTTATTAGTTAAGAAAGCCTGTCAGATTTTTCAAAATCTGAAAAATTCAGATTGGAGAATCTAAAATTATTTAAGTAGCTACCTAAAAATGGATAAGGAAGCCAAGAGTGATGGCTGCTAGGGAGACTGAGGTAGAAGGATAACAAATTTGAGGCCAGCCTGGGCAACTTAATGACACCGTGTCTCAAAAATAAAATTATAAAAGATTTGGGGCTATAACATGGTGGTAGAGTGCTTGCCTGGCATGCCTCAGGTCCCAAGTTCATTTCATAGTAATATATGCACACAAGCGAAGCATAAGGAAAGATGTCATACATCATTCTGTTTTTCATGTCTGTTTAGCTTTTCTGGACACACATTCTTATTAACTGGTGGGGGTTTTGTATTTGTTATTGAGATGGGATTCAAATGGCTGTGTAGTTTCATGTGCCTGTGGGAAGAGGTTTGGACAGATAAGCAGGAAGAAAGGATGAGGAAAGAAGAGGTATTAATGTGAAAAGGCTTATCATTCTGAAGTTTTGAATCAATCATTCCCTTGGAGAAGTACAAATCAGAAACCCACGATTGCTAAGTAAAATCCCTGACATTCATCTTAAAACAGTATTTTACCTGTTGTGGACACTTTGTAGGTGGTTCCATGTGTGTGCGTGAGAGTGTGTAGATGGTTCTGTGTGTGTGTGTGTGTGTGTGTGTGTGTGTGTGTGTGCCTGTGTGTTGTTTCAAAGTAATAAAAAGGTTATATAAAATCTATGCAGGATGTCATGATAGCCATTAGATTCTGTCTTTTTATTCAGTTTTATAATGTTTGTCAAATTGTGCCAGATTTCTTTACTTATTTGGTAAAATTACAAGTAAAACTATAGAAATATTCTACATATTCTCCTTAGTAATATTGAGGACCTTTGTTGAACTATAAGGAAAAAGTCTTTTTTAARAAAATATTCATKTAGTTGTAGATGGACACACAGTATCTTTATTTTTATGTGGTGCTGAGGATTGAACTCAGTGCCTCACATATGCAAGGCAAGCGCTTTACCACTGACCTACAGCCCCAGCCCCAAGAAGAAGGCTTTCAAAAAAATCATCAATAGATGTGAATTTCAAGTTTAAGGTATTTTTGAAATATTACTATGTGATTTCTGTTCACTTTTTAATTATTTTCTCCCCTGTACTTAGCCATTTCTCTCTGCTCTTCCTCCTGCATATCTCCCAGCTGTCTTTGCTACTGCATTATTTGCTACTATTAGAAATTTAAAAAGATATTGATCAGAGCTGTGTTAAGGGTTAACTGATTATGTCATTCACCTGTCTTTATCTCTTTTCACAGCATAGCACACCTACAGATGAAGCTGTATAACGGCATTTTTCTTTGTGTCTGAAAACTGCTTTTTTTCTAGATCATTCTTCTTTCTCATATTAAAATATAAAAGATCCTGAACTAGATACTTAGTATTGACTTCAGTATTAAATAAGTTAATTCTATTTCCATGGCCATTAAGAAGAATTTATAAGGAATAATAGCTGGTATCTATATAATGACATTAAGCCAGTGAGTCATTATTGGCTACCTATACACCTAAGTCTTCAAGATGCCTTTTTTTTTTTTAAACTATGTACTTAATCTCTATTGCTAACTCCTCTTATTCTTAGTGTACCCTAAACATGGCTCTTTTTCCCCAGTATTTCTTATTGGTGCAAATTGTTGGATATAATGATGGTATTTGTTGTTATATATTTATACATGCACACAGTGTAACAGTATAATTTGTGGGGGGAGGGGTGGGGTTTTCTTTATGCTTACTCTTTGAGTTTTTTGGATCACTTCTGGAGACTAGATTATGTACTCTAGTCATAAACATAGCAGCAGCTTTTGGAAACTTTTGATTTTTATTTAGCATCATCTGGAGAACGTTGAATAAATACAGAGATTTCATTCCCAGAGATTGATTCTATCTGGACTCCAGGATGAAGAGTAGGCATGTATGTTTCAAAAAAAAAAAAAAAGTCCTCCAAATGGATCTAATGGGCAGCCAGGCTTGAGAACCACTGCTTCAAGCTGAAAACACAGGACCCAAGTCCAAGTAGTGAGATTGTGTAGAATATTTGGAGCAATCTCCASAAATAACCCAGAAACGACAGAACATGACCCAAAATGAATCAGTCGAGAATATTTGTTTGTATGCTGTATTCATTGACTACGACTGAGTCGCCCAGACATTCTCCCGGAACCTCAGTAGGCTTGTGTCTTCGTTTCAGATGAGTCACCACCAGTGGCATTATCAGGTAGCAATCATCTCTGCAGCAATGTCCTTTCCAGTCACTGACAACAGGAATTCTCAAAGACATGCACTCCATTCAACCTTTTTGAAATTAAATCACATGCACTGTTAATATTCATATTGCGACATAATAAACTTACACTTTATACAAAAAAAAAAAAACAGTATAATTTGGCCAATATCATTCCCCAGTATTTCGAGTTTTTATCTCTCTCTCTCCCCTGGCCCCTTTCTTCTGCATTACTACTCTTCCTTTGATTTTCATGATCCTAACCATGGCTTTACTCAGTGATGTTATTAGCCTTTTGTTGTTTTTTTCACACCTTCTCCTCAATTTGGGGTGGGGAGTACCGGGGAATGAACTCAGGGGTAGTCAACCACTGAGGCACATCCCTAGCCCTATTTTGTATTTTATTTCGAGACAAAGTCTTATAGAATTGCTTAGCACCTTGCTTTTGCTGAGGCTGGCTTTGAACTCAGAGATCCTCCTGCCTTTGCCTCCTGAGCTACTGGGATTACAGGTGTGACACTCTTCCCAGCTCCTCAATATATATTATGTATTTTTAAAGATGGACAACATCTTTATTTTTATTTATTTATTTTATGTGGTGCTGAGGATCGAACCCAGTGCCTCACATGTGCGAGGCAAGTGCTCTACCACTGAGCTATAACCCCAGCTCCCTCAATATATTTTTTAATGTATTATTTTTGAGTTTAGTTATTACTGTTCTGACTTGTCATGTCAATCTTCTTTCACCCAAGTTATCTGACTAATCCATTTTGATCTATAACCAGTTATGACATTCTTCTATTCATTTTTTAAAGCTACTAAATATGTCAYGATTTTTATTTCACAAAATTAAAACATGTCAAATTGTAATTTGTTTTTTCTCAACAAATAAGAGGACCGTAGGTGTAGCTCAGTGGTAGAGCACCCTTGGGTTCAAACCCCAGTACTGCTGGGGGTGGGGGTGGTCTTAAAATTTTTTTTATCTTTTTTGTTTTGTTTTAAGCAGTTTGCATTTTTTAAAAAAACTTGTTTTGGTAAATTTCAAACATAAAATAAGTAGAATAGTTTTATAAATCCTCACAGATCCATTACCCATTACAGCATTTATCTCATAACCAATCTTATTAGAGTGTATCTCTAAAAGACAAGGGATCTCAGCATCCTTTTTGTGCACCCTGGCTCTTCCTGCAAGCTATGTGCAGGGCTACCTCCACAGGCAAATGGTAGCTGCTACTGTGCTGAAATTGACCAAAATCAACCACCATTTACCATCCAAGTCTTCCCTTGGAAGTTGAAAGCTTTCAGTATACTTCCAGAATTTCAAATAATTACATCAGAAGGAATCTGCCAATGCAACACCTAGGAGAGAAATAGGTTACTGGGGTGGATTCCTGTTCCACCAGAACCCTTTCTAGTTTTTTGTTTTGTTTTGTTTTGTTTTGTGTTTTGTTAGTTTCTTTGTTTTGAGTTAGGATCCACATGAGCTCTTTGGCAGTTTTTTTTTTTAATTATAGGTTGACATAATATCTTTATTTTTATTTTATGTGGTGCTGAGGATTGAACCTAGTGCCTCACATGCTACCTCTGAGCCACAACCCCAGCCCGGCACTTTCTTTATTATCTGGCTCATCAGGATGTTCCAGGCTTATTTTGTACATTTCCTCTAGAATCAAACATTTCTCTACTTCTGTTTTGTGAGAAATGGCATCCAGAATCTTAAGTGCCAAGAGTTATGCTTTGCTACTGAATTAATCATTGCCATTATTTTTTTTATGATTTCTTGATTTGTTGCAAAAAGTAGTGCCTTCCTTCTTCCCCTCCCTTTTTTGGGGGGTTGCTTGAGATTACTCTCACAGCTTACTCTTGTGGCTGAGTAAAAAAAAAAAATTTGGTTGTTTGGATTGTTTTTTCTCCATGTATCTCATTTTGAATGTTTTCAATTGCTGTAGCTTTAAACTCACTAATTTTATTTTTATTCTTATCTGCCATTTATCCCATTCATTTTTTACATTGTACTTTAATGAGTTATTGTAATTTTGGATATGTTTTCCTGCAATTCTAGAATAATGATAATAAGATAATGTAAAACATGTTTAAAGATAATGCCAAACATGTTGTTGACTGCTGGAAAGCTTGCATTCCTATAAATCTTGACCTTCATTCTTGGGTGCACAGTGCTTGATTTAGAGCTAAACATTCCTCTTTACTGAGTCAAGACCTTCCAGAATACTCTACCCAATGCCCTGGGACAGTTCTCTCTCTCTCTCTCTCTYTYTTTTTTYTTYTTTWWTAWTWTTTWKTWGTWGKWGG